AACAATTATAACTACAGCAGAACCATCTTGTTGAGTCTTATGAATTGTCCAAGGAGTTGACTGCCCAACCTTCTCCTTTGTGGTTAGTAATTACGGGAAAAGATAAAATTATTAGGTACTGTACTTAACATGATAAAATAATGTGAGGTCACCACATCTGTGATAATGACTATTGGTGAATGCCCGCAATATTTTTCAGTCTTAGATGTTCTATCATGGATTGACCTTCTTTATGTGTATTTTGTCATCACACAGACAAAAATCAGTGTTTTTTTCCCAAAGTACTGTATGTGTGAACATTTGACCCACATGACCTTAGCACATCCCAGTGAGACTCACGCCCTCTTGCTTATTCAACTTAACTAAATACACAGTAAACACTTCCTGTGTCTTAGCACACAATTCCAGTTTGCACAATTAGTTACTTGACTTAGAGATTCAGGATAGACAAAAGAAAGTTTTTTCTTCAGATAACACATTATTAATCCATGCAATTCACTGAAGAATGTAATGACGGGCTTAGATAAGGTTTAGATTAGACAGACTACTCTAGAAGTGTTTTCCTTGTACACAAACTTCAGTGAAGGGAGTTTTTCATATGCAGGAACATTCAATCAAACATTTCAGCTCTGTTCACACATTGCTGAATCTGTTCCCCACTGAAAAAGTGGGGAACAAAGGGGGACACATAGCCTCTACTCTTCTGTCATTACTTTCTTCATACTTCCCATACCAAGCCTGAAGCAGAGAGGTCCCTGTTTTCATTTAGAGAAACAGCAGATCCTTGTACAAAATCCAAAACTAAGGCTGGCTAATTATTGGGCCACGAAAGTGTGTGTGTGTGTGTGTGTGTGTGTGACTAAGGCTGGCAAGTGTGTGTGTGCGTGTGCGTGTGCGTGTGCGTGTGTAAGGCAGCTCCCAAAACAAAATGCCAATTATATTGAAACGAAAGAAAAGTTATATATATTGAAAAGCAATGCTCAACATTAAGAAAGTCATGCTGGGTCCCAAGCTCACCTGTTTCCAATATTATATCAGCTTATAAAAGCATTATTCCAATTTGTTTCGGCATTTTGTTTTGGGAGACAGCAAGGGACTTCAATGCTGTCTTTCACAAGCATGGGGAGGATTGGTGGGAATCAACACTGGCAAGGTAGTGATGAATTTTGTTTAATACATATTGACTTATTTAACTCATTAAATAAATGAATATTCAGTTGTATCCCATTTAGTATTGTTAAAATGGCTATCAATGAGTGTCAGAATTGAACATTCAGAACAATATTAGTTATGAAAGTATACCAGCTCAACAAGTTACAATTAGAAATGGGGGTGTTCATATTCGGATATGAATATAAATATCCCCGCAGAGGTGGAAATAACGAGGGTCCGGCCCCATCCATTCGTATATTGAATATCCCCGCCGAGGTGGAAATAACGAGGGTCCGGCCTTATCCTATTGCTCCGTTCTCCACAATGGATTAGCCAGTATGCGACCCAGGAAAAAGGCTAGTCATCCCACCTCCTGCCAGGACTGGGTAACCTATTGCTCCGTTCTCCGCAATGGATTAGCCACTATGCGACCCAGCAAAAAGGCTTGTCATCCCACCTCCTGCCAGGACTGGGTAATCGACTGCGGACAACAGCATGATAGGAAGCCTCCACGGAGCCAGCGTCAGCGGCAAAATCACCGTTGCCACCTGTGCGGAGACATTTGTATATGAATGCCCCCATCTTTAGTTCCAATGTGACTACTATGGAAGCAATGACAAAATAGATTTGTTAGTTACACATAGATACTCTCAAACTGACTATCACTTCTAAGCCAATGTCAAATTTTAATCTGCATTTGTTAATGTTATAATTTAATATTGCAGTGGGTCAACTACAAGGAGGTGTGAAACAAAAGAGAAAGAAACATGTGATCCATGTGCAACATCCCAAAACAAGATTGAGTGGAAGTACTTTTATTAGTCCACTAAGAAAATTACAGTGGTGCCTTGACTTACGAACTTAATTGGTTCTGGAACTCAGGGCATAACTCAAAATGGTTGTAAGTCGAAGCACCGTTTCCCATAGGAATACACTGAAATGCAATTAATCTATTCCGGCCGAAGAAAAAATCACCCAAAACACACACACAAAAATACTGCAAGACCTATCGGAAACACGATTAATACATTCTGGCCGGGGGGGTGGGGAGAAAAGCAAACAAACTGCGCAAGACCCTTTGGAAATGCAAAAAAGGCAAAGCAAAAAGCAAAAGATATCAGTTTGGGGGGAAAGTATAAATACCCAGGGGGAGACGAGGTTGGTTAGCAAGTTTGAAGGCAAAGGAATGAGGTGCAAGGAAGCACGAGGCAGAACCAGAGACTGACTGAAAAGGCTCTTAAAGGATTTTCCGAACCTAAGGGTTGGAGGGTTAGTACCCGATCCTGAACCAAAGAGAGAGGGAGAGACTGTATACGAGATGCAGGAGTGGACTGTCATTGTATTTCCTTGCGGGCAAGGATGTGGCAAAAAGGTGATACGGCCGGATTCCACCTACAACAGGCCACCTAAAGAAGGAGATTGGGCGAGGCACCCATGCTGTGGAACCACCTGTGTGGTGAGGAGTGCCCCTCTTTGGAACCCCACTGACCGGGAGCGCTTTGGCCCAGCACCCCAATGAGTTATCCAGATTTTCACCACGAGCTAGTTTCTTCCAGTTATGGCCTGTTGCCTGACCTATCTTGTTTTGATCCAGTTGAAATAATTGTTGAAAGACCAGAAATCAATAAAGGTGAAATTATGAATCTGACTGCCAAGTCTCTGTTGTTATTTCCTGCCAAAAGTGAGGAACTGCCAAAACATTCAAATGAACCCAATCACAAAGATCCATCGGAAATGGGAAAAAAGCAAAGCATAAAGCAAACAAACTGTACAAGACCCATTGAAAATGCAAAAAAGGAAAGCAGAAAGCAAACAAACCATGCAAGACCCTTCAGAAATACAAACTAGTTGAAAAAGCGAACAAACCCCGCAAGACCCATCGGAAATAAGGGGGAACCCAAAAAGCAAACAAACCATGTAAACCCATCGGAAATGGGAAAAAACAACCAAAAAACAAACCCTGCAAGACCCATCACAGCATAGAAACATAATCCCACCACCCAGCCCAAAACTCACCCAGAACAGTTTTAAAAAAGTAGAAAGCAGCACCTTACCTTACCAGGCAGTCCAAAGCCTCCTCCAATGCACATTCTCTAACCGCTGGGGCGAAAGAGCTACAAAGAAGCAGCCTCTTCGCCACCAATGGTCAGCAGTTTGAATTTCCCGCCTTTTTCCTCTGCCCTTTTATGGTTGTAACTCAAAGCTCTGGCCACAAGTCGAAGCAAAATTTTGCGGCCGGAGCTGGTCGTAACTCGAAATGGTCGTATGCCGGGATGTTTGTAAGTCAAGGCACCACTGTATAATAAAAAGGCAAGCTTTTGAAGTACAGGTGGCTTTTGGCTTTCACTGAGACATTCTCCCGTAGTGTATTTAGTTATCATTCTTATTTGGGAGCCAAAGCACTAGGGTTATATTGGAGCACATAACTAGCACAAATCTTTGGTAGAGAGGGGAGTAACATTGTGTGCCATATGTGTTTTTATATTATGTTTTGGTTACATCCTGTTTGGGCATTATAGCCTGGAAGTCAGTAGGATTCTAACTATGATGGAGATACCAATGAGCCCCAACCCAACTTCCTTCCACCCAGATAGATGTCTATCAGACCTTTGCATATTCAGTGTGAAGTTCTGAAGAGGTGCATATGACTTTAAGATCTTACAGGACTGGGAACCCTTACAACAAACTATAAGCATGTTCAAATTTGCTTGTTCTTAAGTACCTCTCCAGACCTTTATTATGAACTCACAGAAATCTGGTTGATACACAGGGGAAATTCAGACAGGACTTACATGTGCAAATATACCCCTACTAGAGCTCTATCCACTTTCAAGATATAATGCCTGAATAGGATTTTAATGTGGTAGCATAGGATGTGAGGTGTGGTTTAAACCAGCTCCAAATGGAAGCAATATTTTAAAATAAGTTTGGAGGAGATACAAAATTTAGGCATTCCTAATTAACACAGCCCTTGTCTGTCTTACAAGCACATTCCAGAAATAAGTTTCCTCTCTCTGTGGTCAGTAAAGCCTACTTCTAAGTACTGTACATAATATGGAGAAAATTTAACTTAGCTTTAATTTCTTAGGATTTTTTTCCTTACTTTTGGGAGCGCTCAGGTGTGATGGCAACCGTTAAAAAATTGTGTTTGGTTGATTTTAGGACACTTTGAATTAATTATTCTTGACTAGTGCATAGAAGTAACTAGTAGCAAAGTTACCTGTAACGTTACTTTTGGGTATTTGCAACATAAGAAGCACCTACAAAGTTACTTTTTAGGTGTAATAAGTAAAACCTATGTTACTCGGGTACACCCAGTAGCATCTTGTACTTTCAAACGTTACTTTGTAAGGGCATTTTAAGAAGCATTTTGGCAAGTTTTTAGATTCCGTGCCGTTCTGTTCTCAACCTTAAGCGGGAAAGAACGTATTACTGTTTTGTCTTTTCTATTTTCATAAACAGTCCCAAGGGGCGGGATCAGAACTTCACAACAGCGGTAAAGAAACCAGAATGTTATTTCCTTGCATTTTTCTGTCCTATATAATAGGCAACGCTGAAAATTGCTTCCTCAGTAAGGCTTGGTGCAACGACAGAGCAACTTGACTGTCGAAAGAAAGAAAGGGGCGCCTTCCCATTCCACCTCGCCCGCCGCCAGCGTCCTCTTTTTCCCGCTCCCCCCACCACCACCCCGGTCATCTCAGCCGGCGGCGACACAAGGAGACCCTGCCCAGGCTCCAGTTTCACGGCAGCCCGATTTAGACGGGGAGAACCTTTGGAAGGGAGGGGGGCGGTGCTCCCACGCCCGGCCCCTCCTCCCTCCGCAGGGGCCCACGAGGTTAGCGTGCCCGGCAAATGTAGGCATGCGCAGTGCTTGCCGGGTTCTTCTGGCCTTCCTCTGCTGTGCCTTGCCTGCGTTCGCTCCGGTCCGGCGGCGGCGTCTAGAAGAGGGTCGCGCGGGGGAAACGTCGCCTCGTGCCAGCTCGCTGGCCGGGAGCGGGCTGAAGGTCGTGGCAGAGAGGCGGCTGGCCCCCATTGCCGCGAGGGTTGCTTCGGTTGCCTCGTTCTCAGTAAGCAGGTGGTCCACTTGTTCCTCCTCTGTACCGGTTCCGACGGTGGGGGTGGTGGGTGGGGAGGACGCATAAGTGCCCCTCCATCGAGGAAAACGGAAACGTCTCCACATGGAGAGCTGCTGCTGGCTGAGCTGGAAAAAAAGGGTCTCCTCTTCTCCTCTCATGCCGGCTTCCTGTGTGCATGGAGCTCCTCTCTCTCTCCCCCCCCCCCGCCTTTCCCCGCTTTATGAAAGAATATTGGATGATGTGAACCCGCGTCTGCACTTAGAAGTCGGACAGGGTTAGCATTTTGGAAGAATTCCTGTGTTGTTTAGTCTTCTCTCTCTCCCCCCCAGGGCTTCCCTTCAAATATTCTCTTATGTTCGTAATGCTCTTGAAGTATAAGCACAAATGTGGCGTCAGCAATTCATGCAGTAATTCTTTGAGGTGCACCCCTGTTGAGGATGAGGGAATGGTGGCTTGTGCTGCTGCTGTGGTTGTTACGTGCTAAACAAGTCACCTTTGACTTGTGGCTACATTGATTGAGTGACCTCCAGAGTGTCCTTCGTTTGCAGCCCTGCTCAACTCTCGCAAACTCAAGCTTGTTGCTTGCTTTATGGAGTCAGTCTGCCTTATATTTCTGCCTTCATCTCCTAGTACTGTATCATTGTCTCTTCCAGCAAGTCTGGTCTTACGATGTGCCTAAAGAATGACAGCCTTAGTTTTTGCCATTTTTGCTTCCAGAGTTTCATCTTGGCTTGATCTAGGAACCAATTGTCTTTTTGGCAGTCTAAAACACCCACAAAGTTCTCCTGCACCATATTGCAAATGACCTTTTTTTTTTCTTATTGGCATTTTTCATTGCCTAGCTCTTGCATCATACCCAGTAATAGCAAATCCTATTGTGTTGATGATCTTGGCCTTGGTCTCCTGTGACATATCCTTACTCATGATAGCTGCCTTCATATTGTTCACATTCTTCATAGCTGCTCTTTCAGGTCTCAGTCTTCTTCTGATACCTTGGCTGCAATCTCCATTTGGATTGGTGAATGAACAAAATCTTTCACAATTTCAGTAGTCCTGATTTTGTCTTGTGAATATTCAACTGCAGCCCCACTTCTGCATTTTCTTTGTTCACTTTCATCAGGTGTTGTTTCAAGTCATTGCTGCTTTCTGCCTGTAATATGATGTAATCTTTATATCTTAAATTGTTGATGTTTCTTTCACCAATTTTCACTCAGTCTTTATCTGAATCTAGTCCACTTGACCACATAATATACTGTATTCTGCTTACTTAGTGAACAGGTAGGGAAATAAAATGCCTGACACATTTGCCTATGGGAAACTATTATTTTTCTCTATGTTCTGTCTAACATTAGCTTCTTGTCTTGACTGTAAATTACACATCAGAACAATCAAGTGCTGAGGCACACCTATTTCTTTTAGAACAGTCCATAGATTTTCATGGTCCACACAGTCAAAGGTTTTGCTATTGTCTACAAAGCATAAAATGATGTTCCTCTGAAATTCTTCAGGATGCTCCAGTAATCAACATATATTTGCAATATGGGATCTCTGGTGCTTCTTCTTTTTAAGAATCTAGCCCTGAACATTGGGCATTTCTGGCTACACTTAGGATAAACCTCTTTGTTGTAAAACCTTGAACGTCATTTTGGTTGCATGGGAAATTAATGCAATGGTTCTGTAGTTACTGCACTCCTTTGTGTCTCCTTTCTAGGGTACTGGAATGGATATTGAAGATTTTCAATCTGTGAGCCATTGTTTTGTCTTCCATATTTGTTGGCATAGTCTTTTTAGGATTTCAGTGAATTCATTTTATCTTGAAATAGTTCTATAGGTATCTCATCTCTCTTTGGTGTTTTATTTCTTCTAAGTATATCAAGAGAAGCTTTCATTTCACTTTTTAGAATTGCAGGTTCTTCATTGTAAAATTCTTCTTTAAAGAAGGAATCTTATGAACAATAATTTTATCTCTCCTGTATATTGTATGTTTTATTTCTTCAGTATACTGTATGTTCTCTTCAGTATATTGTTTCCATCTTCTTTCTATTTTATCCTGGTCAGATAGCATATTCTCCCTTTGATCTTTCTGTATCCCTAATCTAAGTTTAAATTCCCCTTTCAACTCCCTTTTCATGTCTCGGATTTTATGGCAGAGATCTTTTATTTTTCATTTTTGTTCTTTTCAATTTCTTTGCACTATTGTAACAGTTGTCTTTGTCTCTCCATGATAGTTGCTGAGAAGTTACAGTCAGCATTCTGACCCTATTTCTGTCACCTTTTACTATTGTTTCTTAAACTGTCCTTAACAGTTTTAAGGTTCTTTTTCCCATCATCCATCTAGGCTTGTCTTTTCATTTTATTACAGGAATAATATTTTTTTACATTCTTCCTTAACAGTGTAGTATCTGGTTTCAATCCACAGTTCTTCTAGTTCACAGTCAAATGAGTTTATTAATGCAAATTTGTTCATTATGTGGATTTTAAATTTATCAGAAATGCTATTTAATTTATTGCTTGGCAATAGATTATTTTAGTGTTCTTTTTTAAACTTTAACTGATTTTTTTATAATAATTGTTCGTGATCAGTACCACACTCTGCCCCTGCTCTTGTTTTTGCTGAAAGAATAAATCCTCATTTGTATGATAATTTGGTTGTTTCAAGTGAGTCTTTGCAATAAGCAGATCATGGGCTTCATAGAATTCTATTAGTCATTCTCCTGCTTCATTTCTGACTCCTAGATCTGATTTTCCTACAATGTTTTGTTTCTGCTTTGTCTCTTACTTTTGTGTTCCAGTCACTATTATCACCATGTCTTGTGTGATTGATTTCCTCCTAGACCTTGCATAAAAGTTTTTGATTTCTACTTTTCGGCTAGTAGCATGGACTTGAATAATGGTTATGTTAGCAGATTTTCTAAAAAGTGTGATTGACACTATTTGATCTGGTCTTGGATTACAGTTGTTTGTTAACTGCTATCAGCAAACAGCAGCAGGCCTACCCAGATGGAGTGCTGGTGGTAGCAGGTGATTTCAATCAAGCCAATTTAAACACCGTCCTCCCTAACTTTTATCAGTATGTGGACTGTCCCACTAGAGGGGAAAATACCTTGGATCAGGTATATAGTAACATCATGCATGGATATAAGACGAAGCCATTGCCTAGCTTGGGACACTCAAATCATATATCTCTGTTTTTGATTCCATCATACAGACCTCTTGTTAAAAGAATCAGACCATCAATTGGAGAAATACAAGTGTGGCCAGTGGATGCATCTGAGCAATTTCAAGATTGCTTTAGGAGCACTGATTGGGCACTGTTTGAGGAGGACAATGTTGATACTTATGCCTCGACAGTACGGTTTTATAACAAAAGCTGCATCAATGTTGTTACCACCACCAGACAAGTACGAGTGTTTTCTAATAAC